ACCCAAACTGCATGGGGTGCAAACCGAATGGGCTGGTATTAAGGTGGTGTGTCAGTTGTTCTGCTATATGTTTCTCTGCTATTTTGGACATGACAGGTAGTATGCTGATTGGTCTATAGTTAGATACTTCAGAAAGTTGACTTGCTTTGTAGATGGGGATTATTATAGCTTCCTTCCATGCTCTTGGAAAAGCCTCTTCACTATAGGATCTGTTAATAATGGCTTATATTGGTCCATATAAGCTTTCATTGAATGTTTTTAGGAGCATTGTGTTTAGACCATACACATCCTTGGCTTTGGAGTTCTTCAAGGAATTTATAATTTTCATCACCTTAGTTTCAGTGATTTCACACAACTCAAAGACAGGTTGATTGTGATCCACTGGGGTCATATTCAGATTAGAAGGGGAGCTCTGTTGCAGAGTCCGCATTGACTCCACAAAGTAGGAGTTAAAGCTTGCTGCAATTTCAGGTCCGTCCTGTGTAATACTACCATTCACACTGATTTCTAGGCGCTTTTCCCCCCAGTATGTTTCCCAATCAGCTTATTCATATTCTCCCAAATCAGTTTGGAATCTCCCTTTGCTTGGTTAATGATATTAATGAAAAAATTAGCCTTTGCTTTCCTTATTTCTCTCGTACCCTTATTTCACAGTCCTACAAACTTTAGTTTATCAGTGGTCAGTTTTGATTTTATGGCTGCTTTCAGTGCCCCCTGCCTCATCATTTTATGTAAATCATCACCTATCCATGGAAGAGTGTTTGTTTGTCTACAGCTAGGTTTTGTTTTCCTCATAAAAGTATTCATTACACATTGGATGGTAGACAAAAGGGTCTGACAGTCAGAATCGGCATCAGAATAAGACAGAATATTATTCCATTCACATTCCATTCCATTCAATTGCATTTTCAAAAGTATGTTGTTCCCCCTTAGGTATTCGAAGTTGACTACTAGGCTTTCTTGCCCCAGGACTGAAACGCTTTTTGGACAGTTTCCTAACAATAAGGGATAAATTATGGTTGGATAACCCAGTAATCATATTGAGAGTCTTGACAATTCTCTCTGGCTTATTAGTGAATATTAAGTCTATCAGTGTTTTGGAGGACTGGGTTATTCTTGTCGGTCCCTTAACAAACTGTGTCAAATCAAAGGTTTTTGTAATTCGTTTAAGAACACTTCTACTGCATTTGTCTTCCTGGTTGCAGTTTATGTCACCCATTAATATTACCTCTTTATCAAAATTACATTCTTTTAGTAGAGTGTTTAATTGATCAAAAAACTAAATTTTAGACGAGGGTGGTCTGTACAGGCCAACAAGAGTAAGAGACATTTGGGGAGATAGTGTAATATTCAGTCCAATGCATTCAAGTTCATTTTCACATCGCCACTCAATGTGACTGCAGCTGATGGTGTCTCGGACATAAAACATTAAGCCCTCCCCTCTTCCTTCAGGCCTGTCCCTTCTGTAGATATTGTATCCGGGGATGCATAATGCTGCACTTGGAGAGTTTTTATGTAGCCAGGTCTCTGATAGAGTCTGCAATAAGATGTTGGATTTGTTCACACTTCCCAGTGATGCCGCAAATGTGACCTCCAAGTAATCCCTTAGGTTTCGCTCTCGGATCCCATAGTATTTTTGCTTGGTTGACAGTTTGGAAGAAGTCCCGCCTCCCGTGTTTTGCAGGGTTTATGGCTTTATGCATCATTATAATTAGTTGTTGACTTGTCGCGTTGTTTTGATTGGCTGGCACTGCTACTGTTTGCCTGCTACTAGCGGTGTTTACAATGTCCAGTTTAATTATGTTACCCATGACCTGCTGTGGATGGTGGTCGCTGATCGTGAGTTACTGTGTAGTTGGACAGCACTCACCGATTACAGCCGGGAGAAAAAGTGGTGTAATAATACACATATTGATATTGTTGAACCATTCAGACAAGGGTTTGGGTTGGTATGCATTATGAACTGAACAATATGTTAAACTGTTCTATTACATCTGGAAAATAAAATGTATGGCTTAGATTGTGTTTAATATAATGTTCTCAGTGTTCTCTCACTTGCTCAACAAGGCAGTCTACATTTTGAAATAGGCAACATGCTGTCTGCCCCTCCCACCCTGAAATGAAAACTTCCTACTCCAGTAAGACACGCTGGGAGGCAGCTACGCTGAAAATTAGCTTGTTGCAAGATTGTTAGTTTGATGGCAGTCGCTGATGTTTTAATGTTTTGTTACATCAGTTTTTCACAGACTAAAAATCAGCAGGAAGACATCTAGTTAACATTAGCTCTAAGCAGCCAGTGGTCACAAATAACAGCTGACAAAGTTTGCATTGAGTTACATTATGATGTGTTCAAGCTCTCTTTGTAAAAATGAAGAATTGGGCTAAAGTTAATTGTAACATTGATGTGTCCAAGGTAATCTTGTAAAATTAATTTTTGGTGAGTGTGGTGAGTTATCCTGTCTGTTCAGCTTCTGCCCAAACTTGAAAGTGGCTTGGTCAACCATAAATAAGCACGGGAACAACTCTTTTCCCCTTCACAGTTTTATAGGTATAATAGGTTTTAGAGGTATAATAGGTTGAAAACCTTCAAATAGAAACAGAAATATACAATCATCACTCTCAAAGGAAATGAGACAATGTTTTAACTCATTTTTAAATATTTTAAATAATGTAACTTTAACTTAAATGGTCTTAACTTGCAATGTTTGCTATTTTAACATTTCAAACATGATACATCAATGCATCTTATTAAATCACCAATGTTCATAGTGTTTAGCTAACATTGACTACTGGAATGCATATTTAGTGAGCAACAAACTACTATTTTGGCAGAAACATATGCACTGCAATACAGTTTCTTTTCACATAGGCCATTTTGTTACTTGAAAAGAATTAATTCTGATAAATATCCCTTCCTTGTTAAATATTGTATAACTTATTCAAACTCTAAGTCACAAACAGAACATTTATTTTCATTATCATTTAACATCATTGGTTACTTTAACATTAAAGAGTGAAATCAATGTGTAACCTGCAGCACTTTAAACAGTACAGTATTTTAAACAGAAACATAAGTCAAAGAGAAAATCAAATCTAAGCAGGCCATTTCATTCAATTAATTCATTAAGACAGTAAATATTTTGTCAGTATCAATTCATACCAGTAGCCTCTTTGTGGTTTCCCCCAAGCTGAACAGCCGTCTCTCTGTTGTCTGCTGCAGCCACTCTGATGTGCAGAGTGAATCTGTTGGTGCACTGCAGACAAGTGCTCCCACTCAGCTGATGAGCTGATCAGCCTTGAGTTTCCTCACCTCAGCAGAGAGAAATGTACTGCTCCACAGCCTTTAGGAGGCAGCATTACTGACTGACTGGGGTGACTGATCTGACACTGTGACTTTGGACCTGACAGTGAGAACCTTGAACAGATAGGAACACCTGGATTTTTGTTTTGCCAGCCACCAAAGTTGCAGCCCTCCTGGCCAACCAGTACCTGTCTGCTGCTTAAAGAGTCTCCTGAAGCAGCAGATGGGAGCCTCGTTCTTCAGCCTGATGGCCTCCTTCATCATTGGTGTCCACCAGCAGGTTCTTAGGTTGCCACCACAACGGGCACCAACGACCTCCCGACCACAACTTTTAGCAGCTGCCTCCGCAATGCACTACACTGCACTGCACTTGTATATCACTTTTCTAATCTTCTGACCACTCAAAGTGCCTTTATGAGTCACATTCACCCATTTACACACACATTCACACGCTGGTGGCCGAGGCTACATTACATGGTGCCACTTGCTACTCAGTAACCATTCACACGCACTTACACTCCGATGGAACAGCCATCAGGTGCAATCTGGGGCTCAATATCTTGCCCAAGGATACTTTGACATGCAAACTGGAGGAGCCTGGGATCAAAACTCTGATCTTCCAATTAGTGGACAACAACTTCTACCTCCTGAGCCACAACCACCCCTATGAAAGCTTTGAACACTGTGATTCCATGTCCCCAACCAACCCCTGGATGTTTGAAAAGTTCTTCCAGAGGTGAAAGTTGAAGATCTTGCAGACAGGGGCCTCAACCACATGTTTCCAGTTCACCCTACCTAATGGTTTGGGTTTGCCAGGTCTGTCCAGCAGCCTCCACTGCTATCTGATCCAACTCACCAATAGATTGACAGCTCTGTTTCTGTCTTTCCCCAAGTTTCCAAGACACATGGCTGCTGATGTGATCGAACGACCACAAAGTCAAGCATTGATCTTTGGCCGAGTGTGCTCTGATACCACGTACACTTACGAACCACCCAATGCTCAAACATGGTGTTTGTTATGGCCAATACAATGACTAGCACAGAAGTCCAATAACATACACCACTCAGTTTCAGATCAGGCAGACTGTTCACCCCCCTCCAGGTTTCTCCATTGTCACCCACAGGAGCGTTGAAATCCCCCTGAAGAACTAGACTCCCTGTTTGGTACCTCTTCCAGGAGACCCCCATAGACTCCAAGAATGCCAGGTACCCTGAACTGCTATTTGGTGCATAAGCAGAAACAACAGACAAAGAACCCCTCTCGACTTGCATAAATATCAAAGTGACCCTCTGGTACGCCTGGGTCTCTGCTGCCCGGCAAACAATGCACCTGGTCCCGATAACTATCCCTGCGGGTTGTGGGCCACAGGGCTGCAGCTCCATGTTGTTTTTATGGGCTGAGGTTAACTGGGCCCCATCTTCTTGTTTAGTTGTGGTTATTTTTGTTTAATTGTGTGACTCTTGTGTGACCCTGTGTCTTTTTTTTTTTTGGTTAATTTTCTGAGATCTATACTGAGAACGGCAAAAAGTGTATAGTTGGTTGATGTGATGTGTAATTTTACGTTCACTTTAGTAAAATTTCCTGAAAGTAACTACTTTTACTCGAGTAAAATATTTTACTACTCTAAAAAAAACACTATAATACCTAAATGATGCATGTAACATTCACAGTCATTGTGTGTTATGGCTTTAATCTGACCTTTGGAGCTTTCAGAAACCGTCCCATCATCATCATCTGACGTCATGTCTACCTCCAAATCACTGCCATCCTGGAGGCCATCTGATTGGTGTGCCGGTAACTGGCTGGCCCATAGGGTATCAACTCCAGTTGAGACATCTCTTCCTTGCTGCAGAGATGCAGGCTGAAACAGCAAGAAAAAAGAAAAAAAAAAGTCTGTAGAAACCAAGTGAACATTTGTGCCTGTGCTGTAAAATTGCTAATCACTGATATATATATATATATATATATATATATATATATATATATATTGGAAGAACTTGTCTGAGCAAACAATAGCCCTGTGACATTACTATAACATAATCAGAGTTTTCTCAGTTTGGGATTGAGACTACAAATTTTTAACAGAATACCTGCATAAAAGCTGAGAGTGTGGAGTTTGAAAGATATAACAGATGTTTACCAGGCACAGCGTATATAATATTAAGATGCTGCTGAGCTGTATTTTGGGAGATGTAGATGTAGATTCCAGTGGTTTTGGAACTTGACTGATACTAGGGACTATAAGTTAAGATATCCCCCAATACAAAGATGACTCTCTCCATTCTGGAGAGGGATGTAAATAAGAGAGAGACAGAACATAAGAAACAGAACCCCCACAAAGCAGCCACACCAGACTCCTTCTACCTTGAAGCACTGTGCTTGTCAGCTGTGCCAGCGTTCACAGACATCTTAAACATCTCACTAGACCACAGAACTTAGAGACTACAGACTTGTCGCCCTGACTTCTTTGTCTCCTGAGCACTTTGTCCTGTTCCACCTCAAAACCATCGCTGACCCACTTATTGACACCCTGCTATTTGCCTACTTAGCCAACAGGTCAGCAAGTGATGCAGTCAAAATGGCCCTCTACTTCATCTTCAGTACCTGGACTCCTCAGGAACCTAGGCCAGGATCCTGTTTGTGGAATTAATTTCTGCCTTTAACACCATCATCCTGGCCTTGTCACAGGACAAGCTCTCCCAGCTACAAGTGCCTGACTCTACCTGCAGATGAATCACAGACTTCCTGTCTCACAAGAACTAGCATGTAAAGCTGGGAAAACACATCTCTAACTCCTGGACCATCAGCATTAGCTTCCTGCATCCTTGGCCCTCTGTTCTTCTCACTGCACCTCCAGTCACCAGTCTGTCAGACTCCTAATGTTTGTGGACAACATCACTCTTATTGGGCAATGAATGTTTGCTTGATGGAGTGCTGCCAGTAAAAGAGACTTGTCCTCCACTGGATTTGTAATTCAAGAATGGAGAACCTAGCTCAATATAAGTGACTGTAGCTTGTGTGTGTTTAATCACAGGTGCAGGTTGGGTTGTGGGACTTTTATTAACAGGTGCAGGCGGGTGCAGCTTTTCAAAAAGGCACCCATGCAGGTCTCTGCTGCAGCATATTATTTGCTCTGCAGAAAGGGTGAGTGGCTGTAATCTGCCACACCACGTTTGTTAAAATGGGTTACATTAATGCACATCTTTTGGACTGTTATCTCTGTACACTGCACACATGGGAGAAGTTTGCCTATAGGCCATTCTATTCAACTAATCTAACATTATCTGTTCTCTCAATCTGTTCATTTTAACCCAAACAATGATTATCGTTCCTGATCTTAACCAAGAAATCTCTGTCTAGTAGAAAGCCCCACAGGCAAACTTCTCCCAACAGCATTTTCTTAATACTTAATACTAGAAACTTTTGGACATTGCCAAGTCAATATTTTGTTCATCCCTGCACAGACTGTACAGCTTTCATTTTAAAACAGATAACTGTACATATTTTTAAAATTAGTTTTAAAACATTTTTTTTTATAAGATTCTTTATTCTATATTTAATGTTTCTTGAATTTTGCAGTACTTACTTGTATTATAATTCCCTCTTGTTATGTTAATGGTTATGCACCAAAAACACCAAGGCAAATCCCTTGTGTGTGAAAACCTACTTAGCAATAAAACTAATTGTGATTCTGATCTCAGCCTCTCAATTTTGACTTTTAAAACCTGTCCCCTAACTTAATGAAATTGCAACACAAATGTTCTCACTTGAGAAGCTTGCTCCTCCAGATGTTGGGAGGCAAGTGCAGCCCCGCTGCAGACCTTCATGTGCCGGAACTGCCTCTCCAGTTTTGCCCGTGCTCTTTCACTGTCCTTGAACCGGCTTTCTGCATCCCGCAGCCTCAGCAGCTCCTCCTGCAGCAGGCTGTGTTGTCTCTGCAAAAGAGCCAGCTCCCCAATGGTTGATCCTGCACTGGCCTCCCGATTTCCACCATCTCGCCAGAGAGGGCGCCATACTCCTCCAGCAGCTGGTCCTACAGTATCCTGTGGCTGCAGCAGCAGCTCCAAGATGGAGTCTTGTTTGATGACAGCACCCTGCAGGATATGTTAGAGAATCCAGTTTCAAAGACTTTACAGGCTGAAAATGGCATACAGAAGTGTGCCTCCTCCAAAGTTACATCAAATTCCCTTTCTTAGAAGGATGGACTATTACACATACATACAATCAATCTACAGATGGAACTCAAGAGTTATCAAAAGGTTTTTCTCTTTGTTGTGTTTTCAAAAATTCTAAAACATTTCTTTGCCATTAAACTTTGAATCACAGCTGGTTTGAAAGGCTCTGTGAGAGAACAAACCTGCCTTTCCTTAAGCACTTTCAGCACTTTCAGACAGATAATTTTTTTCTTTGGATGACTAACACATAACCCTGGACAAAATAACAACATTTGGACCAACATATACTAGGCACATATTGACTGTAGTGAAACTTTTCCACAGTGGACCAACAAATACACATAATTTCTAGTTGTTGTTTTTTTGTTTTTTTTTTAGAGAAAACAATTATAATTAAAAATAGCTGCAAGCGGCAATTCGGGGGTTTGAGCCAGCATGGAAGTTGAAAGCTGGGTAAGATCAAGACCTTTGATAATTTGAGACACCTGCATTAAAGATAAACAATAGGATTTATGACAATCAGACAGATGCTCATTCATTTATGACCAAATCTTTACCGGGTCACGCTCTTCTTTGGAAACTCTGTCGCTTCCTATTTGTCAGCTTGCAGAAACATTTTGGGGACATGCTTTAAAGGCTTAGTTAAAAAATGTCCACGGAGTTTGGTGATGTTTAAACAAATCCTAATTGATTTATGGCCAAATTTTGCGAGGGGCCACTGCACTTGTTTCGAACTTGTGGCGCTCCCTATTGACAGATTTCAAAATTATTTAATACACATGGTTCATATTTATTATTCAACATACCCTACAAGATTTGTAATGATTGTACAATCAATTTCTTATTTATAATCTGATTTGTGTTACTGCATGCCCATGTTTTGCATTTGTGGTGCCCCCTAGTGGTCAATTTGAATGAAACTTTCAGGATATGTTGCAGGTATCTCTTCAGACATTGCTCGCAAGGTCTGTGATGATTGGCCCAAACGTTGTGGAGTTATTTGCTGATCCACGCCCCATTTAAGGTTCATTGGTAAATATCTTTAAAACGCAATGAGATATAAATATTTTGGTGACATCTGGTTGAAAATGAGATGAAATAGAAAATGTTTTGCATACAGTACAAATTACAACAACATAATGAATATCACTGTGAGCTAACCATTAAACCGATCTGAACATCCTTTGAAATATCTGACATAGGATTCTTAAGGTTTTTGTAGAACCCATTCACCTGAACATGCTTGTCGAATTTCAAGTCAATCTGACATACCGTGCAAGGGTTGTGGTCTTTCAAAACAAATTTTTTTCAAATTGTAATTATAGCGCCACGATCTGGCCTATTGGCATTATATTTCTTGAGCAGCATTTGCACACAACTTCCAATCACTGGTGAAAATTTCGTGTCTCCATGATGTACCATCTCACAGGAGGTTGCAAAAACATTTCTGAAGAAGAAGAATAATGATAATTAAAGCTGCAAGCAGCAATGAACGGGCCCTTGCACCTCTGCGCAACTCAGGGGTGCTGGCAGGATGCCGTCTGATGCAGCAATTCATTTCTGTCAATGTCGGACACCGCACACAGGAGTGAGATGGCATATCCTTCATAAAGTGTGGGCGCTGGAATGGCCTATTTCACATTTTGTACCATTTCCTCTTTCCACTAGAGGGGGCTGGAGAACACACTAGTGATATGTCACGTTTTTGTACATCAAATATAAACCACAGCATTAAAATTTCAGGTAAATCAAAAGAAACGAGTTAATGCCAATTGTTCTGTTTTGGTGAAATGGCCAAAAATGCACCAAAATTGCACAGTAAATCCTTTTTTTTAGTAGGGGGCGCTACTGAGCCATTTTCGGCACCTGAGCAGGAGACCCTGAAAAAATCAGATTTTTCAGCAGTTCTGATATATGCACAAAGTTTCATAAGTTTTTGAGTATGTTAAGCCCTCAAAAAGCCAATTCATTTGGAGGAAAAATAATAATTCCTTGCATTTCAATAGGGTCCTCGTATCGCTTGCTGCTTGGGCCCTAATAAGAACTCCTTCAGTTTCAAAAGGGCTTTTGTTTTGTAATAACTGGCTCAAAGGTTGTGGAGTTAGCTCCATTTGTTTGCTAAACCATGCCCCCTTGAAAGTTCATTGGTCAATCTCATTTAGTTTTGAATCTTCTAAGTGCAATGAGATATTATAACAGTTAAAGCATTGATGATGAAATTCTAAAAAAAATCTCGTCATGCTGCTGTTTTTAGGTATATTGTCAAATATTTTGGTGACATTGGGTTAAAAATTAGATGAAATAGAAAATGTTGTGCATACAGTACAAATTACTATGACACACTACACGAGATAAAATGATGGATTATCATGCACAGCACTTATTGATGTTCACAACCCGAGCCGACACTAGTCAACAGCCATGTTGGGCTTAGGCATGTGCCGGTATGATATTTTGACGGTATGATAACCGTGGGCAAAAATACCACGGTAACAGGTATTACTGCGGTGGTAGTAATAATAATAATAATAATAATAATAATAATAATAATAATAATAATAATAACAACAATAACAATAATAATAATAATAATAATAAAACAGGCATCGTCCTATTTTCGCGCTCTACACTTTAAAACGTTAGGCTAATATTCATTTGACCGTTCATGAGCGACAGCAAGTAGGCTACCATGCATTTCCTGTCAGTGCAACACATCATCACACCAGCTGTTTAAATGTGTAGGCTAATATAGACCCGTTAAAAGTTTAATAGAGCCGTTTCTTAACTTCACGATGGTGACTCCGCCCAGCAGCTTGTTGAGCTCCTCGTCGTTGTGGACAGCCAGCTGCCGGTGACGGGGGATGATACGGGTGTTCTTGTTGTCGAGGGCAGCGTTTCCAGCCAACTCCAGGATCTCAACGGTCAGATACTCCAGCACAGACGGCAGGTAGACGGGGGCACCGGCACTTACACGCTCTGCATAGTTTCTTTTGCACAGCAACCTGTGAACACGGCCGACTGGGAACTGGAGCCCACCACGGGAGGAGCGGGTCTTTGCCTTGGCTCTGGGGGTTCTTCTGATAGCCTAAAGGGTCCCACACCACGGACTTCGTCCTTTTCGCCGGTGGGAAAAGTTCAGCTTCGCCTCCTCCAATCGTGTTTGCAGTTTGCACGTGAGTGGATTTACACTGATTACTGACGTACTGACTGACTGACTGAGGCTGCCCCCCCCCCCCCCCAATAACTGTGCTGACTGCAGTGGCTGCACATGCATGATTTCAGAGTGTGTGCCAGTTAAAATGTACGACTGCCACAGAGTTATTTCTGAGTTTTGAGTTCCTGAAGTTCCCATTTATGAAACGTAGCGTAGGTTACACCGTCGGCCTTTACATTCTTTTTACATTCTTTTACCGTGGTAAACCGTGACGCCGGTAACCGGCACATGCCTAGATAATTGGGCTAATATCGTGTAGTCTGAACCTGGCATAAGGAGACAGTTTAAGATTTTGCTGACCAAAAAACACCTGCAGCGCATTGCCTTTCAGCAGAATCACAATATCACCAGCCCAACCCTTTAAAGCTGAAAGTCTGCATTGACTCCAAAACATTTTTCTACCTCTTCAAACAACCTAAACTGTCCAATATTTACACACTACATGTTATGTAGCATAACATGTAGTGTGCTGTATACTGTTAAAGACATACAGAAACCTACTCACCTGGAGTGCATGGAGATACACACTGAGATTCACCAGCCTCTGATAGATCTTCTGTCAAACACAGGCAGCGTACTTATTACTGACATCTGTTTGATACACACATGCTCACTCATACACGCACATGCACATATGCACACACTTTGAGAAATCTACCCTCTTACCGTGAGCGGTGGCTTGTCTTGATTCCTCATGCAATCCTTTAGATGGTGAAAAACAGGAGGATAGTATCACCACAATGATGTTACATACAAACATAATCATTAGCTATTAATAGTACATCAATTAAACTAAAATGATGTGACTGACAATAATTATGTTCTTGCCCAATGTGATCAGTGTCTTGTTTTTCCAGCTCACTTTAGATGAAACCACGCCTATTTCTGCATGATGAAAGAGGGCTGCCAGAAGGCCCAATGATTGGCTGCATGCAGCAAGTCAGGTGCCTCTGGCTCAAAGTGCACAGCTTGAGCTCATCAGTGGCTTTGAACACCACCCTTGTCAAAAAATACTGAGGAACTATACAGCCTCATCCCTGTCCTTAGAGACATGAAGTTCGGTTTCGATGCCCCACCTTGTTTATGTACAGGCACTGAGCAGCCAGTCTTGCAAGGTCCTGGACAGACTCCAGCATTGCAACAGCAGCAGCCTACAGTATATACAGACATTAAATCTTAGCTGCAACGACACAGCTGGTGCAATCTGTAATAGCAGGTAGCAGCCAACTGCCATCACAATTGGAAGTGAAAGTATTGGGCTGTGGCAGTTCATATCCAGCACTTGTTAACATGGATAGAGTGGGAAAACCAGCAGTGGGCAGTGCAGAGAAGGTGTGCCAAAAAAAAAGAAAAAGGCTTTGCTGGGTGACACCACAAAGAAACCGATTTATTTAAGCAGTCTGCACCAGCAGCAGCAGCAGCAGCAGCAGCGACAGGTGATGATGAGCACAGTGGTGCAGAGCCTGAGGCAGCAGAGGCTGTGTCATGCTTACATGCTATGTGCTGTTAACTAGCTAAATGAACTAAATGGACCTGCATTTGTATAGCTCCTTTCTAGTCATCCGACCACTCAAAGCGCTTTTTACATTACGAGTCACATTCACCCATTCACACACTGGTGGCCGAGGCTACCATACAAGGTGCCCACCTGACTACTCACTTTTAACACACTCACTCACCAAGGAACAGCCATCGGGAGCAATTTGTGGTTCAGTATCTTGCTCAAGGATACTTCGACATACGGACTGGAGGAGCCGGGGATCCAATCGCTGATCTTTCGATTGGTGGACGACCTGCTCTACCTCTGAGCCACAGCCGCCCCAACTAACCAAAGAACAATACTGTTTTTGGTAATCTTGGGATTTAATGCAAGGTCCGCTGTAGGTTTGACCATTTCCAAGGTTCACTCATCAGACTTAGAGAAGTTTACTTAAAAACTGTAAGTGCTTAAAAATGGTCATCAGCCTCCACTGTACAAGGGGAAAATAAACATGAAATTTGATATTTTTCTTCCAGACCACTCACCAATTGTTTTTTTTTTTTTTTATTGCAGCTTGTGAGGCATATAATATTTGATAGCCAGCCCAGCAATAAAAATTTTGGCTTGAAATTGGCTAAAAAGCGCCTTTCACACCTCCTTTGAATAGTGACACACTATATATATATATATATATAT